ATTGTAAAACAAAATTTTTCTTACATCTAGTGGTATACATGTTGATATCGCATACTGTAAAAGCATATTTGGTTTTCTTGAGGTACAGTATAAAGATGTCTACTTATGGGTTGTAACTAATTTAGTATTGGATTTGCTGAAAGTATAAAATACCAGAATGAAATTCAAAAACCTAATTTTCATCCTTCACTTGGGCACATATTATATTATAACATGTGTCTTACTGTGCTCTAGTAGTTTCCTCTGCCTGTGAAAATGATGTACGTTTAAATGGTGATCGGATTTTTCAGATGTAATCAGCTTAAAGTCTTGGAACACTGAACATCTTAATGCACAGCTGCTGTTGATAAGGATCCCATTGTTCTTGAAACCAAACCTCTCGGACTTAAATCTCAAAATTAAAGTTTACATAACATAAAAGTTTATGTTCTTTTTAGCATTTCATTCAACCAAACAAATGCTCAAAATGATTTGAATTACGTTTGCTCTCTAGTTTTGTTGTTAGATTTAAATCTGCATAAAAACTCTCCTTTTTAAGTCTTTTTTTTTCACCTTCAGCAAATAACTGAAGCTAACTGGGCAATTTTCAAAGAGTGGTTTTCTTAGATTTCCTTTCCACCTCCTATGTGTTCATCAGCATAGCTTGAATGAGTGTCCCATTTGCCATTGTCCCATATGTTTAATTTCATGCTTCTTGATTCCTCAAAATTCAAGTCTGGATAAATTGCTGATGAGTCATTTTAAATAACCTCTTTGAAATGCTTCTGGTGTTTTTGCTTTCTGAAGAGCTGGCACCATGTGCGTTGCGTGCAGGTCGAGGAGGTCCAGAGCAGCTGGTGACAACTTCCCATTGACAAATGAGCTCATGTTTGTTTACTGTTGGGGGTCCCTTACCTGATGGCTCCATCCATGAGGTCTCATTTAAACACATAAGGGGGCCCCTAGATAAATTAGGTAGATCTTAAGAAGCTTAAGATAAGATTCTTGAATTTGGTACAGTACAAATGAAGGGTGGACTTCATCCTATAGTTGCCAACAAATACCTACAGTTATATGAGAAATTATAGTAGAATATACCATTCAAAGGTATATTCTGGCTTTTTAAAAATATAAATAAAAGTGATTTTAATAAAAAAAAGTTAATGTAAGTAACTCTTGTAGCAAAGAAATCAAAGCAATGCAAACCCCCCCAAATTGAACAAAAAAAAAATCCAGTCCCATGTGATACAACCCTCCAGTGGTCTCAAGTGTTTACCAGCTTGAGCTCTGACTGGTGTCAAAAAATAACACTTACTAAGGCACTCCTCTATGAGCTGCAAACACTTTTCACCTTAGTTTGACAATTCTCCTTTTGGTAAACCTGTGTTTTCTTACTCTTCTGCTTTAGGGCCATTGTTAAGTTGAAATAAATGTCCATATGTGTTTTAAAAGTCAAATTTCTATTAGTTTTATCAGCAGCTTAACGTTCAAAGGATTTCTTTTATCTCTTCTTTTTGCTATTTCTACTTTCTGTCCTTCCCCTTTGCCTGTAAAGGTTTAATGGAATTTATTGTCTTATTTTTAAAGATATTATCACATTTGTTAAATTTACTTTTGTATGTCTTGCTTCTTGTCCCTGTAGCTCCCTGCGGAGGTCACTTTACTGGTTTAGAGGGGACCGTTCTGTCCCCAAACTACCCACATAATTACACCAGAGGTCAGAGCTGTGTCTATGACATCTTTGTCCCTGGAGACTTCGGTAAGCATTTAAAGCATTGTTTGCATTAAGTTCTGTAAAAATTTTCTTTTTAGGCTGTTTCTTTAGGCTTGTCTTTTTTTTGTGGCAAAGTTTTAGAGAAACATGTTTACTTCAAAACTGATGCAAGATTGTTAAACTAATACTTCTGTGTTTTTTGTGAAGGTTGTTAATGAGGATTGGGTATATTACAGGAAGAAACACAGGCTTAGGTGACAGGGAATTACCAATCAAAACATTCATACTTGCATTATTCATTACTCAGAAGTTAATTTGTGCTTCATACATTTTCAGTGTTATGCCTGATGCTTACAGCCATGAAGACTCAAGTAAATGTGTTTTCTCTGCCGAAGTAATATTTTCTCCATTTATATTAAGTATGTACAAAGAACGATGTTTAGGCTGATAGTAAGGACAGCTGCTTCTCCTTCAGATAAAATCTGCTGGTGTTCATTTACTCTCAATGATATGTAATGTTTGAGGCTTATTAGCTGTACAGTATTTCATGACTGTACTTGAATTAAGCAAACAAAAATTGAGTATATTGGTATAAAAAACAATTTTCGTAGGAGCCAAAGAAAGGTACTGTGGGTCAAACAAAAGGTTTTATCCAAATAGTGGAAACAGAGGAATTGTTGGCCGATATAAACACAGCTGCTTATGTAAAATTCAGCAAAGATCCCATGAAAACCTTGACACATTTCTGCTCAGCAGTCCGTACTATTCATAATAAGCTGCAGAAATCCAGGCAGCTGTTTTTATTCACTAAACCCCCATGCTCATGAAACACACATTCATCCCTTGTGTGATGATCCTCTCCGACTGTTTACATCTTTTTCTCCCATCTCTCGCTGCTCATGGTGTCCAGGAACCCACAGGTCTTTTTTTAATAAATAATGCATCAAAATGCTGTCTTGCCTAAACTGCTGGCACATGCTTAATGGTGTGTGGAATTTGCCAAGCAACATTCCCACCTGTGTCTTTGAATTTCCTTTACGGGGATGAGCTGTGGAAACAGAGGCTATCGATGGTAGGCAAGACTGCTGTGATGTGGCTTGATTGAAATGCAGCCTGAACAACCAGGTTTAACAGCACAGCGAGAGCAGAATAAAAACTTTAAGGCAGAAAACACAAGGATGATGTTTCACATTTGTATAAAACATGCTTTTATTTTGCAGCCAATGTTTAAAGGTTTTATGAAGAAGCTAAAGCATGATAAATGCATGACTTTTGTAAAACACTCATCAGATTTTTGAACAGTTCAAAAGAAATTTAAGATTTTGTGTTGCTCTTTAGTAAAAATGCACACATGCTTTAAAAAACGTCTTCATGGACACATTAGTTTGTATTGTAGGTGAAAACTTGGCTCAGTTAGAAACATGAGAACTGAATTACACACTAGGTGATATGTTTTTAAGGATTTCTTCCACTTAAAGGTATAGTGGAGGATTTTTGCGAATTTTTTGAAAAGACCTGCCCTCTCCACTTAAAATAAAGAGGTGCTCCCGAAAGCGAACGTCTATTAAACACACGTGAGACCATGCACAAGCCCATTTTTTCTCAAAGAGGTGCAGGGTCGCAATGATAAGACGGTTGCTTGGATGGATCTCATCTCACCCATGTTTATATATAAAACTTTCCCCGCAAATAAGACTACTGGTATATTAAAAGAATCAAGACATGCTTGTATTTGTGTGGCCAAAGTATAACTACTAACGATGCAAATTACAAAATAAATAAACTTATCTTCCCTGGAAAGTGACAGTATAGAGTCAGACAACTTTTACTAGCGATGATGTGAAATGGATTTCTCCAAATAGCATGCAAACTTTACCTGTCGAGTAGAAACTTTGCAACTGAGGCATCAGTGGGAAGCCTGACCTGCGCTTTCACATCTGCTGCTGTTGGTTTTACTTTGCTTTATCAAGACCAAATTCTGTGCAGCAGTCTACCTGGACATATTGAAGCCCTTCATGCTTTCCTCTGTTGGCAAGCTATATGTTGATACTGATTTGAGATTCTCCGCACACTTCCCACTAGTTTATGCCTCAGTATCACTGTCCTAGATCAGCCAGTGGATTTGCCTCAAAGAATCTATTGTTTCAAAGATGAGAGACACCTGAACCAACCACACAGAGACCCAATCAAAACAAGCTGAGCCTCCTTAACACCTAAGCACAGCCACAGGGTAATGCCACTGTGTGAACATTACTCCTCAGTGGGCTGACATTTTTTGTGAAACAATTTTTATATTCGTCTTTGAGTTTGATTTGGTATTAAGAAAAAAGTATAAAAGCAAAAAAAAAAACAAGTTAACTTCATCATGCATTCTTAAAAAAATATGGATGTATGCGTTCTGCATAAAAAGTCTGTGGTTCTAACCTCCATACAGGACTCTTTAGAAAAAATAGGATTTTTTTTCTCTGTAGGAGCTTGACAGTAGACACTCACCTTCAGGCAGCATTTTAAAAGGAATCACATTTCAGTGCCTAGTACACAGGTGATTGAAATTTGTAACCGCCCAGGGTAGGGTGTCAGATATGTGTCATATTCTGTCCTTCAAATGATCTGTAGCATATCATAATCCTCTGAGACATTGTGTCAGCTTGGTTGCAGTTCCAGAAAAAAATAGCATCTCCTGACTCTGCTTCAATGACCTGAGGGTTTTATACAGGGTTGAGGGTTAAATCATTATGTGAGTTTATGTCTTACGGATCAAAGTGTTGGAATGAAGGGCGCCAAAAGATTATGTTCATCCCTTAGTATAGTATTATGATGTAAGGTCACAACCAAATCCCTTAGCATTGGGTTGGGTAGCAGGTACCACATGTTTTCTTTGGTTGCGCTTTTCACCTCACAAAACTCTCCATGTTTCTGTTTAATGTGTCAGGTGTTTCTTAATGATTGCTAATGATGAATATGGGATTTTAAAAGAGTAATTACAATAATGCACTTTACTGGAAATCTAATGGACATATTTTTTTTAATTAAATGCCAAATTAGAACATTTTAAGCTTAAAATCGACAGCCTTCCTGCATGTAGTGAGATGAAAGAAAGATCTGAGATGAAGAACAACAACTTTATTGCTGCTTCCAGGAACTTAAACCCACATGATGCTAAACAGTATCTTTATTTTACAAAATAATTTAACTTTGTCTCTATGTGCAGTTCTCCTACTATTTATCATTATATGTTTTTTTTAACCTATATAATGTTATTAATATCTTCATGTGGTAAATATTAGGGGCACCGCCCTTTTCTTCTCAGAACATTCTAAAACCTAGAAAATACAATGAAATCTGTGTCTGAAAGGTCTTTGTGTCAAAAAAGCTAAAGGTGTCCTTGTCCTGCATACCACTGTGCAAATTATTAAAAATATCATATGCACACCTTTTTTAATTCTTCCTATACTTACTACAGACCTAATTGTTGGGTCTTAGATTGTACCCATTTTAGTTCAGTTTATTTCAATTGAGTTTATTTAGGTAGCACCAATTCACCAAACATTTTATCCCAACTATAACAGAGAACTTAACAGAGAAAATTCAATCAGATCATACAGAAATACTGGTAAAATGGTTTCTGTCTAAGGAAAACCAACTGATCGCATCGCTTCATTGACTTTACAGGACAGGTTCCTCCTCGATGAGCATGGGAGGACAGTAGATATTCCCCTTCATTGTGTCGTTGACTCTACAGCACCCCTCACACTGAGGAATCTTTTACTCAGATAACTAAATTAAATAAAGTGGAGCCAATTGTTTTTAGACATAATCTAATAGGTATGTACATGCAGTTAACCTGTATGTAATTAGATCCTGGTATAAATCTAGGTGTTCTGTGAAAGCCCGTGACAGTTTGTTTGAGGACTTAAGTGAACAAAGATCTTCATGAAGACCAAGGATACTTTGCAGGTCAGGGACATAAGTCAAGCAGAAATGTAGAGCTTTCAGCATCCCACAGAGTAGTTTTATATTCATTTTAAAATAGAATAATGGCACAACTACAGATCGTCCAAGAAATGGCTGTTCCCTTTAACTGATAAGTTTGTATAGAAGAAATCTTTTCAGAGAAGAATTTAAGGTGTCCATGGAAAAACTCTAGGGGCAGAATCTGTTGACAGTGTAACTATTTGTCATGCCCTTTACCCTTAGTCTTTATGTTTTCCAAAAGAAAGTAAATGTTTTTTGCAGTTTACAATTTACAGGGTATGGCCAACATATAAGAACATGTTTGTACAGATTAGACCAAACACATTTATTATGGTTGAATTTAAAATGCTCTGTAGTAGAAAACTACCACTGCCACTGCACGTCATCAAAAATACACCATGCTATTACACCATCCCCTTTTGGGACGGCTAATAGTTTAAGCAAAGCAAGTAACCTAAATTTGTGAACACGTACAAGTACATATACAGAGAGAGAGATTTATGATGTTTTGTGTCTGACAGCTGTTTTGCATTTGACACCACAGCTTCTTTTACATTGAAATTCTATATTATAACTGGAGTTACTGGTTTACATCTGTCCTGCTGATGTTCGATTTTTCATTAATTCATACAAAGACTTTACTTACTATTAAAGAGCAATACATCGTTTTTTTGTTTTTGTTTTTACATAGACTGATGTTTTGTTGCATTATTTGGGACATATTTGGGAAAATGGGTCAAATATTACATTCTTCTCAGTATGAATAATGATTGCACACATTGCTTGAGTTGATTTGTCAGTATATAGGAAACTGATTTTCGATTACTTAGATCCTTCTGTAATAGAGGAGTATACTCACAGGGATGATGTGAATGCTGCTGG